TGACACAATGGATCATTACAAAAAGTCTTCCAATAAAAAGGCTGATGGCACATTAGCTCACGACTAACTGCATCCGGACGGATTGGCATCCTACAAGATAAATTCTAAAAAAATGGCAACTTCATACTGGGTAGGCCTACAATGTGAGAATGCCACAAATCAAATCCGATAGGGCTGGTATGTAGGTCAACAATCAGTTCTTTGGCTCATGCAGGTTTTATTGAGCCGTAGAACTGGATGGCGACCTATTTACCAACCCTATTACTACCCCTCCTCCTTTCTTCAGTCGCTAAAGTTTTCCCTTAACTCCAATCACTGCTTCCTCTACTTTGTTTCTTCTTCTTCTTCTTCGATCTTAGTATTAGTGGTGAAAGGGATTTACTTCTAACACAATTAAGAATACGTATGAACTTGCTAAGCACCATACAGGCCTTTGACTCCAATTTCAGCATGCTTTCTATTAGGATTTGCTTCCATAGCCTTTGTCCAACCAAAAACAAACTGCAAGGCAGCAGCTGTATGATTTTGGAGTTGTCTCTCCTAGATGAGTGGCTGTCCCCATCTGCACGGAGGTTCGAACCATGAGCTTAACCGACCCGACCACGCCGACCTCCTATTTTCTTTCAAACACCACCTCCCTAATATTTTCTTAAGCTTCTAAGATTTTTTGCATCGGTAAGTAACACAAAAATACACATGACTTTAATATTTAATTTTTTTTTCTTTCAAAATGACATTCCAAAATCATACAGCTGCTGCCTTACAGAAAGACTGTACTTCTTCAGCCTCGTGTGTGTTGGGCACGATTAGGAAAAGATGGTGATGAATAAAAAAAATTAACCACCATCTACCCCTAACTAAATTATAAAGCAACCTAATAAACATATACCTTCCCATACTCCATCCAATGTGTTCACAATTCCTTAGTTATATCAATTAAAACTTCATGGGTTGTAATCAAGTATTTTTAAAACGAACAGTAGTTACCTCGCTTGACTACGGGTTCATCTGTCTTTTGACAATAAGATCTCAACATTTCAATGGCGAAGGTATTATTAGCCAACTAAGCAGTCAGTGTGCACCCCCCCCCCCCTCACCCCCCTTACACATCCTCCCCTCCCCTCCCACACAGGCAAAAAAAAGTGAAAAGGAAAATAAAAATCAAGCATAAAGCACATAAGCATTTTATTGACGTCATATTTTTATTTTCGTTGTCAAGAGATCTCTTAACCGCATACTATGCGTTTATATAAGCTAGCGTGCCGGTCCCCGCGCGTTGCTGCCGGAAAGAATAAAGTTTGACTACAAATATGAGGAGAGTTTAATCAATGCGTTACCTACACGTAAAAATTCACCGAAATATTACCGTTGTTTGCTCTACTTTTCCACCTCGGGTACATAGAAACATAGTATACCAGCTCAGAGTATATGATCTGGCTTATGGAAGAATATAATGTATCGTTCTACCTAGGGCTAGATCACTGCCTATATCTACACTTCAATCGCTGCCTATATCTCCACTACAATCATTGCTTATATCTCCAATGCAATCACTGCTTATATCTCCAATGCAATCACTGCCTATATCTCCACTTCAATCACTGCCTATATCTCCACTACAATCACTGCTTATCTCCAATGCAATCACTGCTTATATCTCCAATGCAATCACTGCCTATATCTCCACTTCAATCACTGCCTATATCTCCACTACAATCACTGCTTATATCTCCAATGCAATCACTGCTTATATCTCCAATGCAATCACTGCCTATATCTCCACTTCAATCACTGCCTATATCTCCACTACAATCACTGCTTATATCTCCAATGCAATCACTGCTTATATCTCCAATGCAATCACTGTCTATATCTCCACTTCAATCACTGCCTATATCTCCACTTCAATCACTGTCTATAACTCCACTACAATCCCGGTCACCCGCCCTTTACAATCACAACCTACCTTACCCCGTCAACTCACTATTGGAATCTCTCATATACACTCAGCCAATCATTATAAACCCTTATGTATATATGTATATATGTATATATATATATATATATATATATATATATATATATATATATATATATATATATATATATATATATATATATATGGTTGGGAGGTTATGTTGAGCTGTGATGTAATATGACAGGGAATGTGGGGGGGGGGGGGGGGGTTATGCAACGTCTTTCATAATCTGATTAAAATTGGCGATAGCCAAAAGTACATGGGCGTAAAACCAGTTCATTAACTACTTGATCCAAGACTTCACTTTAAATTTTGTTGAGGTTATTTGATTTTCTCAATGCTAATTCGCCTTTCGATAAATCCCACGGCCCACAAGAACTGCCACTCCTCCCCTCCCCCGCACTAACATTCAAACCTTCCACTTTCTGTTACCTGTAGTACATCGACCATAGTCCTTCCTACTAGAAGTAGACAGCCAACACGTCACCTCACCTACTTAGTCTACCATGCGACACATGTGTATAAAAATGTAAACGTCATCACGGTCAGGTGTTGACACGCTCCACGTCATACGCTCCACGTCAGGTGTTAGCAAAAATTCAGGCATTTTTTTCAGGGAGGGAAGGGGGCAGGTGGAAGGGGGATGCACTGCCGAAGTACGAACGAAATAGAATTTATATATATTTAAAAAACTTAAACCGACCCCCCCCCCCCGACATTTAACCCCCTCCCCCCTCAACTCGATAGTTTTAAGTGCTCCTCAACTGAGAAAAATGACTGAAAGAAACACTGGGAGTGAGCATTTACGTAGTCCACCACCTTACTTCATTATCACTATTATAGTTTTCAACTATAACTAAATCGCTGGAAAACATTTTCGTTATAAAATTAGACAATGGAATTGCTTTACTATGTTATGAGGGGGGGGGGGGGGGGCTGTCTTTTTTTGTAACAACGGCTGAACATAGTGGAAAAGGCATAGCTAGGTGAGAGCGGGTGCGGCAGCCGACCCTAGAGGGGCACAAAACGGGTAGAGAAAAGTAAACATTTTAGCTGAGCTGCATTAATATACAATATTTTATTTAGAGAAAATACACAGATAAATGGCTTTACAGATTGATTTAACTGTTCTCTACATCAATTTTCTGACACCATTGCAGAAACTGTTGAGGGACAGTGGCTGGTAAAAAGCATTATGTCCCCCCCCCCCCACGATTCTTAAAAATTATTTTGGGGCGGGAAAATGGTTCGCTACGCCTTTGCTAATGGGCGGGTATGTTTTGGTATACTAGAGTTTTAAAAAGGGCGAAGACATTTATTAAAAATAAACTCGTTTTAATTGTTTTAATTTATATTCATTGTTTTGATTTTTTTTCGTTCTAAATATACATAATATATTTAGTGGTTCTACTTATTTGCATTACACCGCCCTTTCCTCACATCCCCCAAGTGCTTTGGTCCGTGAAAAACTAAGTGTAACAAAATTCACCAATCTGACCTTGTTACGTTGCGCTTGCCGCGTCTCGCCACGTCCTAGGTAAATACAGCAGAGGTTACATCATACTCTAAGTCACATCCGACCAGTAAGAGTTAAATCAATTCCTGTTCCATTCATTCCAGGCCCAATTTTCTACCGTCACTCCTAGCTGTGTTGGCTTGCGCACGGTGCAAAAACTGTATCGAATTTATTTTTAAAAATAGTTTTACCCATTGTTGGCTCTGCCTGGTCAAAAACTGTAACATGACCTACATAGCTGTATATAAAGAGCGGTGGAGAGATTTTACATGCGTTTAAAGAGTGGACTTTTGCAAACGAAGAGGAGAACTAGCAGTACTGAAGAAGTTCACTAATACAATCAGACCGTTGAAATTTGACCATTACATAAAACAGTACTAGGTGAGTAATTTTATGTCTTAGGCAGTGTTGAGTAAATATCCCCAGAATCCCATAGGAATTTATTATTTTGGAGCCCATCAATCTTAAAAAATTACTTATCCAATTAACACTAAAATGATGTTTTACGTAATATATTCCATTTTCTTTGAATCAACAGCTTGTTATAGATTTTAATAGCAAACTCTTTGACGATTAAATATACATGCATATATATATATATATATATATATATATATATATATATATATATATATATATATATATATATATATATATATATATATATATATATATATATATATGTGTGTGTGTGAGTGTGAGTGTGTATATCTTGTATGCGTTACAGTCTTTTGTGAAGGCGTGTAACCCATAAAATTGGTCCCCATTTAATTCAAAGCACACCTCACCGAAGAGACCGTATTATTCGATTTTTTCAAGGGGAGCTAAAAATATATTTGTCCCTTTGAAACATGGCCCACTTTCTGGAAGTGTGTAGAATCTGAGAAAAAAATAGTTCTAAACTAATTTCAAAATTCATGTATCTTTCAGCAAAGAAATTTTCAGGTGTAATTCTTTTTTCATAAATAAATATATTTTTCAATTTTTTGTTTCCTTCCTTGAAAAACTCTAAAAATGCTCTTTAATCTTAAATGAAGTAATCTATAAAGTAACGCAGTCATCTGCTGGACAGACCTGTCGCAGGCAGTTCAGATATGAGGGCTGTAGCCTGTAGCGTCAGAACATCGTTAGACAGGTGGCTTAAAACTGACAGCGACTCACCATAATTTACGGCACATATTTTTATTGAATAGTTTTGCCGAAATAAACATGAACTACAAAGTATATGATCATGACAGGTTTACAAAAAAAAGCAATGGAAATAATTTACGATATATCTCCAACCAAAAGGTTTAGCAAATACACATATACGCAATATATTTAAATAGAAATTTTACCTAAATGGAAAAGGGAAATAACTGACTTAATATTTCCATCCACAGGCCACCATGGTGTTTGAGCTACTATCGGATGTTGGAACCACCACATGGCTGGCCGTCCTACTCGTCTTGGTCCTGTCATGGTACTGGACGGCCAGCCAATCAAAAAACCTCCCGCCGTCACCTGGGATAGCTTTACCTTTCATCGGACACATGTATCTGCTGGAGAAGAATCCCAGAAAACAGTTCGAACGGTGGGTCAAACGGTTCGGTCCGGCGTTCAGCTTGAGGTTTGGGATGAACCAGGTCGTGGTGCTCAACACGTACGACGTGCTGAAAGAGGCGCTGGTCAAGCAAGGTGACCACTTCTCTGACCGGCCAAGAACGGGATTTATCGCGGCCAATGTACCCTTACACTCCAAGGGCGTTATTTCTTCTTCCGGCGCCAATTGGAAAGAACAAAGAACAACATCTCTGGCAATTTTAAGAAACTTCGGCATGGGAAAAAATATTTTGGCTGAGAAGATCTCTGTTGAGGTTTCTAAATACATTGAAGCAGTTTCTGAAAGTGGAGGAAAACCTACAGACATTAGGACTCTGACCAACATCAGCGTCTCGAATGTGATTTGTTCAATTATTTTTGGCAAGAGATTTGAGTTCGATGATCCAAAGTTCATCGAACTGATTAAAGCTTTAAACTTAGCAATTGCATCTATTTCCGGAACCTCTCTGCTAAATTTCCTGCCCGCACTTCGACTTTTGCCCTTTGACCCTTTCAAGTCCAAACAGCTAATTGCTAACTTAAGTGCAACCCAGAATTTTGCAAAGAAAATGATTGATGAAATTAAACACGACTCCACAAACACGGACAATTTCATCGCCTCTTACTTCAGCGAAATGAAAGAAAAAGAAAAGCGTGGTGAATCCACTTTACTGGACGAGACTAATTTAGTTCGAGTTATTGACAACCTGTTTGCCGCAGGAACGGAGACCACCAGCACCACCATCTTGTGGAGCTTGTTGTTTGTGCTTCATAATCCGGAAGTTCAGAAAAAAATCTACCAGGAGATTTTAGAACAAGTCGGAGTGAACCGTGCTCCGACTATCCAAGATAGACCCAAACTAAAATACCTGACAGCGTTTATCATGGAAACACAACGGATGGCTAGTCTGGTGCCATTTAGTCTCATCCACGTATGCAATCAAGATGCAACAGTAGCCGGGTACACCATCCCGAAGGGGACGCAAATCTTTCCCAACCTGGACGCCGTCCTGATGGATGAAAAAATCTGGGGCGACCCACGTAACTTCCGTCCAGAGCGCTTTCTTGACGAACAAGGCAACATCAAAAACAGAGAGGAATTCATTCCTTTTTCCATTGGCCGACGAATCTGTTTAGGCGAATCTTTAGCCAAGATGGAACTTTTTCTGTACTTATCTTCCTTGTTCCAGCATTTTGAAATCCTTCCAGCTAAAGATAACTCCATTCCCCTAATTAAAGAAACATTTGCCATCGTTGTCTCCCTTGAACCTTTTGAAATTCGCTGTGTGGAAAGACACCTGATTGTGAACAAGTAGATTATTTATCACTTGACATTTATTAGTATAGTGTTTTGTTTAATTAAAACCGGATATAAAGTTTTGTTTTTATTTTAAACATTATAAACAGACTATTAAAACTTACTCTCACAATACGTAGATACGAAGGCATATATTCTGACAGAAGCTTAGAAAGCGATTATATAAAAAATCTGAATTTTACTTTTACTCAAAGAAATAAAATAAAACCAATCTTCTATATTGAAATTGTATAACTATGACAAAATAGGAAACATAAGCTAGAAACAAGTCTTAGTATACAATTAGAGAGTTTCGTAAAAATATATATACACATACTGCTAAGATGACAAAAATGATTTCATACAACTATAGAAAAGTTTTCAATTTAAAGAAGTAATTATATTTTATCCTACTCTGAATATTATTATTATTATTATTAAGAAACCAGTAATGATACTTACACTAATGGATTTTTACACAATAATCGGATTTTTATAATAGGTGTTTTTTTCTTTTTACATTTTATTACACATATTTACTTGCTCTTTTTGCTACGTGAGTTTGTTAGAGTTTTTATGTGAATGTATGTTCACGTGGTTAAAATTTGAACCCAGTCCAGTTAACTTTGTAATGTCCTTGTCTGTGTTAACTTGGTCAAACACTGACAGTTGTGTAAAGTTATCACGTTTTATTTATTTTATATTTTAAAAAATATTTTCCCTTTACAAAACTATTTTTTAACGCGATGTTCTTTTCAAATAAAGAAAAGAAAAATTATTGTTCTTTACATATTTTGTGTTTTTTTTGTAATATAAAAATGTGGGTGTATCACAAAAAAAGGGCTTCAGACATATTGGGTGTAGACAATAATGTTCCCGATAAATTGGCTATTTATAAATCTATCCCGATAAATCAAATCCGATAGGGCTGGTATGTAGGTCACCAATCAGTTCTATGGCTCATGCAGGTTTTATTGAGCCGTAGAACTGGATGGCGACCTATTTACCAACCCTATTACTACCCCCTCCTCCTTTCTTCAGTCGCTATAGTTTTCCCTTAACTCCAATCACTGCTTCCTCTACTTTGTTTCTTCTTCTTCTTCTTCGATCTTAGTATTAGTGGTGAAAGGGATTTACTTCTAACACAATTAAGAATACGTATGAACTTGCTAAGCACCATACAGGCCTTTGACTCCAATTTCAGCATGCTTTCTATTAGGATTTGCTTCCATAGCCTTTGTCCAAACAAAAACAAACTGCAAGGCAGCAGCTGTATGATTTTGGAGTTGTCTCTCCTAGATGAGTGGCTGTCCCCATCTGCACGGAGGTTCGAACCATGAGCTTAGTCGACCCGACCACGCCGACCTCCTATTTTTGTTCAAACACTACCTCCCTAATATTTTTTTTAAGCTTCTAAGAATTTTTGCATCGGTAAGTAACACAAAAATACACATTACTTTAATATTAAAAAAAAATTTCTTTCAAAATAACATTCTTAATAACATTTCATTGTGAATTTGACACACCATAATAAAAGAAATAAACCGGGAGTGATCTCCCCTAAACTTTCTTGAATATTCTTATATAAAACAACAGTTGATGGGAACTCGGAATATAGACATGATTTTTAATCCATTTTAAATACTTAAACTTTTTAAAATAGAATAAAATCTCTTAGAAAAAAAGACTTGACACCAAATGAACGCCAAATAAAATGTGCATAATTGTGCAGAATATTATAAGTACTTTATAAATTTACATTAGTTTTTTTTGAGAAATCGGAAATAGCGTAAATTACTATTCCAGTCAACGGAAATTACTTTAAATTTGACAGAATGTAGAGAATTTAATCTTTTACTTACTTGTGAAATGTCGTTTATTTATCTGAAATAGTACTCAAGTTATAGGCTTTTGAAAAATTCAAAGTAGAAAAAGTTCCACTTCCAGTTATCGGAAATCGCTCAAAAGTTGATACGGATCAACGATTTTGATATAATACTTATATATGAAATTTCATCAACCTAGCTGTAACGGTACTCAAGTTATCGTGTTTACAGACACACATACATACACACAAACACACACACATACAAACACACAGACATACGGACAAATTGAAAAACTATGTTTTTCCGACTCAGGGAGGTGTAAAACGTCGAGATCTGCAAAAATCTCATTTTTTTGCACGATTACATGACTTTCTCTATACTTCATATGCCGAGGTCTATGAAACAGAAATACTGTACTTCGTCAGCCTCGTGTGTGTTGGGCACGATTAGGAAAAGATGGTGATGAATAAAAAAATTAACCACCATCTACCCCTAACTAAATTGTAAAGCAACCTAATAAACATATACCTTCCCATACTCCATCCAATGTGTTCACAATTCCTTAGTTATAGCAATTAAAACTTCATGGGTTGTAATCAAGTATTTTTAAAACGAACAGTAGTTACCTCGCTTAACTACGGGTTCATCTGTCTTTTGACGATACGATCTCAACATTTCAATGGCGAAGGTATTATTAGCCAACTAAGCAGTTAGTGTACACCCCACCTCACCCCCCTTACGCATCCTCCCCCCCCCTCCACACAGGCAAAAAAAAGTGAAAAGGAAAATAAAAATCAAGCATAAAGCACATAAGCATTTTATTGACGTCATATGTTTATTTTCGTTGTCAAGAGATCTCTTAACCGCATAATATGCGTTTATATAAGCTAGCGTGCCGGTCCCCGCGCGTTGCTGTCGGAAAGAATAAAGTTTGACTAAAAATATTAGGAGAGTTTAATCAATGCGTTACCTACACGTAAAAATTCACCGAAATATTACCGTTGTTTGCTCTACTTTCCCACCTCGGGTACATAGAAACATAGTGTACAATCACTGCCTATAACTCTACTACAACCACTGCCTATAACTCCAGTATAATCACTGTCTATAACTCCACTACAATCACTGCATATATCTCCACTACAATCACTGCCTATATCTCCACTACAATCACTGCCTATATCTCCACTACAATCACTGCTTATATCTCCAATGCAATCACTGCTTATATCTCCAATGCAATCACTGCTTATATCTCCAATGCAATCACTGCCTATATCTCCACTTCAATCACTGCCTATATCTCCACTACAATCACTGCCTATATCTCCACTACAATCACTGCCTATATCTCCACTACAATCACTGCCTATATCTCCACTACAATCACTGCCTATATCTCCAATGCAATCACTGCCTATATCTCCACTTCAATCACTGTCTATACCTTCACTTCAATCACTGCCTATATCTCCACTACAATCACTGCCTATATCTCCACTACAATCACTGCCTATATCTCCACTACAATCACTGCCTATATCTCCACTACAATCACTGTCTATATCTCCACTACAATCACTGCCTATATCTCCACTACAATCACTGTCTATATCTCCACTACAATCACTGCCTATATCTCCACTACAATCCCTGTCACCCGCCCTTTACAATCACAACCTACCCTACCCCGTCAACTCACTATTGGAATCTCCCATATACACTCAGCCAATTATTATAAACCCTTATATATATATATATATATATATATATATATATATATATATATATATATATATATATATATATATATATATATATATATATATATATATATATGTATATATGGTTGGGAGGTTATGTTGAGTTGTGATGTAATATGACAGGGAAAGTGGGGGGTTATGAAACGTTTTTCATGATCTGATTAAAATTAGCGAAAGCCAAAAGTACAGGGGCTTAAAACCAGTTGACTAACTACTTAATCCAAGACTTCACTTTAAATTTTGTTGAGGTTATTTGATTTTCTCAATGCTAATTCGCCTTTCGATAAATCCCACGGCTCACAAGAACTGCCACTCCTCCCTTTCCCCCACACTAACATTCACACCTACTTTCGCTGTCTGTTACCTGTAGTACATCGACCATGGTCCTTCCTACTAGAAGTAGACAGCCAACACGTCACCTCGCCTACTTAGTCTACCCTGCGACACATGTGTATAAAAATGTAAACGTCATCACGGTCAGGTGTTGTCACGCTCCACGTCATACGCTCCACGTCAGGTGTTAGCAAAAATTCAGGCATTTTTTCAGGGATTGAAGGGGGAAGGTGGAAGGTAGGGTGCACTGCCGAAGTAAGAACGAAATAGAGTTTATATAAAAAAAATACTTAAACCGACACCCCCCCCCCCCCGAAATTTGCACCCCCCCCATTCAACTCTATAGTTGAATGACTGAAAGAAACACTGGGTGTGAGCATTTACGTAGTCCACCACCTAACTGTATTTTTGGAACAACGGCTGAACATCGGGGGAGAGGCGTAACTAGGGGAGAGCAGGTGCGGCAGCCAACCCTAGAGGGGCACAAAACGGGTAGAGAAAAGTAAACGCTTTAGCTGAGATGCATTAATATACAATATTTTATTTAGAGAAAATACACAGATAAATGGCTTTACAGATTGATTTAACTGTTCTCTACATCAGTTTTCTGACACCATAACAGAAACTGTTTAGGGACAGTGCCTGGTAAAAAGCATTATGTCCCCCCCAGATTATTAAAAATTATTGTGGGGCGGGAGAATGGTTAGCTACGCCTTTGCTAATGGGCGGGTATGTTTTGGTATACTAGAGTTTTAAAAAGGACGAAGACATTTATTAAAAATAAACTCGTTTAAATTGTTTTAATTTATATTCATTGTTTTGATTTTTTTCGTTCTAAATATACAAAAGATAGTGGTTCTACTTATTTGCATTACACCGCCCTTTCCTCCCCTCCCCCAAGTGCTTTGGTCCGTGAAAAACTAAGTGTAACTAAATTCACCAATCTGACCTTGTTACGTTGCGCTTGCCGCGTCTCGCCACGTCCTAGGTAAATACAGCAGAGGTTACATCATACTCTACGTCACGTCCGGCCAGTAAGTGTTAAATCAATTCCTGTTCCATTCATTCCACGCTCAATTTTCTACCGTCACTCCTAGCTGTGTTGGCTTGCGCACGGTGCAAAAACTGTATCGAATTTATTTTTAAAAATAGTTTTACCCATTGTTGGCTATGCCTGGTCAAAAACTGTAACATGACCTACATAGCTGTATATAAAGAGCGGTGGAGAGATTTTACATGCGTTAAAAGAGTGGACTTTTGCAAACGAAGAGGAGAACTAGCAGTACTGAAGAAGTTCACTAAAACAATCAGACCGTTGAAATTTGACCATTGCATAAAACAGTACTAGGTGAGTAATTTTATGTCTTAGGCAGTGTTGAGTAAATATCCTCAGAATCCCATAGGAATTTATTATTTTGGAGCCCATCAATCTTAAAAAATTAAGTATCCAATTAACACTAAAATGATGTTTTACGTAATATATTCAATTTTCTTTGAATCAACAGCTTGTTATAGATTTTAATAGCAAACTCTTTGACGATTAAATATACATGCATATATATATATATATATATATATATATATATAAAATATAAATATATATATATATATATATATATATATATATATATATATATATATATATATATATATATATGTGTGTGTGTGTGAGTGTGAGTGTGTGTATCTTGTATGCGTTACAGTCTTTTGTGAAGGCGTGTAACCCATAAAATTGGTCCCCATTTAATTCAAAGCACACCTCGCCGAAGAGACCGTATTATTCGATTTTTTCAAGGGGAGCTAAAAATATATTTGTCCCTTTGAAACATGGCCCACTTTCTGGAAGTGTGTAGAATCTGAGAAAAAAATAGTTCTAAACTAATTTCAGAATTCATGTATCTTTCGGCAAAGAAATTTTCAGGTGTTATTCTTTTTTCATAAATAAATATATTTTTCAATTTTTGGTTTGCTTCCTTGAAAAACTCTAAAAATGCTCTTTAATCTTAAATGAAGTAATCTATAAAGTAACGCAGTCATCTGCTGGCCAGACATGTCGCAGGCAGTTCAGATATGAGATGCTGTAGCCTGTAGCGTCAGAAAATCGTTAGACTTATTTTTTATCAAATAGTGTTGCCAAATTAAACATGAACTACAAAGTATATGATCATCACAGGTTTAAAAAAAAAGCAATGGAAATAATTTACGATATATCTCCATATCTCCAACCAAAAGGTTTAGCAAATACACATATACGCAATATATTTAAATAGAAATTTACCTAAATGGAAAAGGGAAAGAATTGACTTAATATTTCCACCCACAGACCACCATGGTGTTTGAGCTACTATCGGATGTTGGAACCACCACATGGCTGACCGTCCTGCTCGTCTTGGTCCTGTCCTGGTACTGGACGGCCAGCCAATCAAAAAACCTCCCACCGTCACCTGGGATAGCTTTACCTTTCATCGGACACATGTATCTGCTGGAGAAGAATCCCAGAAAACAGTTCGAACGGTGGGTCAAGCGGTTCGGTCCGGCGTTCAGCCTGAGGTTTGGGATGAACCAGGTCGTGGTGCTCAACACGTACGACGTGCTGAAAGAGGCGCTGGTCAAGCAAGGTGACCACTTCTCTGACCGGCCAAGAACGGGATTTATCGCGGCCAATGTACCCTTACACTAAAAGGGCGTTATTTCTTCTTCCGGCGCCAATTGGAAAGAACAAAGAACGACATCTCTGGCAATTTTAAGAAACTTCGGCATGGGAAAAAATATTTTGGCTGATAAAATCTCTGTTGAAGTTTCTAAATACATTGAAGCAATTTCTGAAAGTCAAGGAAAACCTACGGACATCAGGACTCTGACCAACATCAGCGTCTCGAATGTCATTTGCTCAATTATTTTTGGCAAGAGATTTGAGTTCGATGACCCAAAGTTCATCGAACTGATTAAAGCTTTAAACTTAGCTATTGCATCTATTTCCGGAACCTCTCTGCTCAATTTCCTGCCCGCACTTCGACTTTTGCCCTTTGACCCTTTCAAGTCCAAACAGCTAATTGCTCGCTTAACTGCAACCCAGAATTTTGCGAAGAAAATGATTGATGAAATTAAACACGACTCCACAAACACGGACAATTTCATCGCCGCTTACTTCAGCGAAATGAAAGAAAAAGAAAAGCGTGGTGAATCCACTTTACTGGACGAGACTAATTTAGTTCGAGTTATTGACAACCTGTTTGCCGCAGGAACGGAGACCACCAGCACCACCATCTTGTGGAGCTTGTTGTTTGTGCTTCATAATACGGAAGTTCAGAAAAAAATCTACCAGGAGATTTTAGAACAAGTCGGAGTGAACCGCGCTCCGACTATCAAAGATAGACCCAAACTCAAATACCTGACAGCGTTTATCATGGAAACACAACGGATGGCTAGTCTGGTGCCATTTAGTCTTATCCACGTATGCAATCAGGATGCAACTGTAGCCGGGTACACCATCCCCAAGGGGACGCAAATCATTCCCAACCTGGACGCCGTCCTGATGGATGAAAAAATCTGGGGCGACCCACGTAACTTCCGTCCAGAGCGCTTTCTTGACGAACAAGGCAACATCAAAAACAGAGAGGAATTCATTCCTTTTTCCATTGGCCGACGAATCTGTTTAGGCGAATCTTTAGCCAAGATGGAACTTTTTCTGTACTTATCTTCCTTGTTCCAGCATTTTGAAATCCTTCCAGCTAAAGATAACTCCATTCCACTAATTAAAGAAACATTTGCCATCGTTGTCTCCCTTGAACCTTTTGAAATTCGCTGTGTGGAAAGACACCTAAATGTGAACAAGTAGATTATGTATCACTTGAAATTTTTAGTATAGTCTTTTGTTTAATTAAACCGGATATAAAGTTTTGTTTTTACTTTAAACATTATAAACAGACTGTTAAAACGTACTCTCACAATACGTAGATACGAAGGCATATATTCTGACAGAAGCTTAGAAAGCGATTATATAAAAAATCTGAATTTTACTTTTACTCAAAGAAATAAAATAAAACCAATCTTCTATATTGAAATTGTATAACAATGAAAAAATAGGAAACATAAGCTAGAAACAAGTCTTAGTATACAATCAGAGAGTTTCGTAAAAATATATATACACATACTGCTAAGATGGCAAAAATGATTTCATACAAATATAGAAAAATGTTTCAATTTAAAGAAGTAATTATATTATATTCTACTCTGAATATTATTATTATTAAGAAACCAGTAAATGATACTTACACCAATGGATTTTTACACAATAATCGGATTTTTATAATAGGTGTTTTTTTCTTTTTACATTTTATTACAAATATTTACTTGCTCTTTTTGCTACGTGAGTTTGTGAGAGTTTTTATGTGAATGTATGTTCACGTGGTTAAAATTTGTACCCAGCCCAGTTAACTTTGTAATGTCCTTGTCTGTGTTAACTTGGTCAAACACCGACACTTGTGAAAAGTTATCACGTTTTATTTATTTTATATTTTAAAAAATATTTTCCCTTTACAAAACTATTTTTTTAACGCGATGTTCTTTTCAAATAAAGAAAAAAAATCATTGTTCTTTACACATTTTGTGTTGTTTTTTTTTGTAATATAAAAATGTGGGTGTATCACAAAACAGGGCTTCAGACATATTGGGTGTAGACAATAATGTTCCCGATAAATTGGCTATTGATAAATCTGTCCCGGACGGGTTATCGATATAACTGCTCGCGACAAAAACTCTCATGACACAATAAATCATTACAAAAAGTCTTCCAATAAAAAGGCTGATGACAAATGAGCTCACGACTAACTGCATCCAGACTGATTGTCATCCTACGAGATAAATACAAAAAAATGGCAACTTCATACTGGGTACGATGTGAGAATGCCGCAAATCAAATCCGATAGGGCTGGTATGTAGGTCACCAATCAGTTCTATGGCTCATGCAGGTTTTATTGAGCTGTAGAACTGGATGGCGACCTATTTACCAACCCTATTACTACCCCCTCCTCCTTTCTTCAGTCGCTACCGTTTTCCCTTAACTCCAATCACTGCTTCCTCTACTTTGTTTCTTCATCTTCTTCGATCTTAGTATTAGTGTTGAAAGGGATTTACTTCTAACACAATTAAGAATACGTATGAACTTGCTAACCACCATACAGGCCTTTGACTCCAATTTCAGCATGCTTTCTATTAGGATTTGCTTCCATAGCCTTTGTCCAACCAAAAACAAACTGCAAGGCAGCAGCTGTATGATTTTGGAGTTGTCTCTCCTAGATGAGTGGCTGTCCCCATTTGCACGGGGGTTCGAACCATGAGCTTAACCGACCCGACCACGCCGACCTCCTATTTTTGTTCAAACTCTACCTCCCTAATATTTTTTTAAGCTTCTAAGAATTTGTGCATCGGTAAGTAACACAAAAATACACATTATTTTAATATTTAAAAAAAAAATTCTTTCAAAATGACATTCTTAATAACATTTCATTCTAAATTTGACACACCATAATAAAACAAATAAACCGGGAGTGATCTCCCCTAAACTTTCTTGAATATTTTTATATAAAACAACAGTTGATGGGAACTCGGGATATAGACATGATTTTTAATCCATTTTAAATACTTAAACTTTTTAAAATAGAATAAAATCTCGTAGAAAAAAAAGACTTGACACCAAATGAACGCCATATAAAATGTGCATAATTGTACAGAATATTATTAGTACTCTATAAATTTACATTAGTTTTTTTGAGAAATCGGAAATAGCGTAAATTACTATTCCGGTCAACGGAAATTACTTTAAATTTGACAGAAGGTAGAGAATTTAATCTTTTACTTACTTGTGAAATGTCGTTTACTTATCTGAAATAGTACTCAAGTTATAGGCTTTTGAAAAATTCAAAGTAGAAAAAGTTTCACTTCCAGTTATCGAAAATCGCTCAAAAGTTGATACGGAACAACGATTTTGATATAATACTTATATATAAAATTTCATCAACCTAGCTGTAACGGTACTCAAGTTATCGTGTTTACAGACACACATACATGCACACAAACACACACATACAAACACACAGACATATGGACAAATTGCAAAACTATGTTTTTCCGACTCAGGGAGGTGTAAAACGTCGAGATCTGCAAACATCTCAATTTTTTTTTGCACGATTACATGACTTTCTCTATATTTCATATGCCGAGGTCCATGAAACAGAAATACTGTACTTCGTCAGCCTCGTGTGTGTTGGGCACGATTAGGAAAAGATGGTGATGAATAAAAAAATTAACCACCATCTACCCCTAACTAAATTGTAAAGCAACCTAATAAACATATACCTTCCCATACTCCATCCAATGTGTTCACAATTCCTTAGCTATAGCAATTAAAACTTCATGGGTTGTAATCAATTATTTTTAAAACGAACAGTAATTACCTCGCTTAACTACGGGTTCATCTGTCTTTTGACAATAGGATCTCAACATTTCAATGGCGAAGGTATTATTAGCCAACTAAGCAGTCAGTGTACACCCCACCTCACCCCCCTTACGCATCCTCTCCCCCCTCCAGAGGCGTAGCTAGGGGGGGGGCGGCCGCCCCGGGCGCCGACCATATGGGGGCGCCAAAAGGGGTGGGAAAAAAAATTTAAAGCTGATTTTATGCTGCAGTTTTGAATTATAAACTGTCTAAGTTAAGAAATGTAATGGCTACACGCCTTTACATACTGATTTAACTGTTTTCTACCTTGATTTCTTATTAATGTAAAACATATACTCTTAAGAAACAGTGACCGGCAAAACCGCTTTGAAGCTTTTCCTAGATGGAGGGGGGCGCTTTTTCGAGACTTAAAACGAAAGAATTTACACTAGATTGTTGAGTCGATAAACGTTACCGCTATTAAAAGAAACCAATTGTATTAAAACGTATTGTACGATTGTTGAACTGTAAAATACGTTAGTGACTTTTATCAAGATGGTGCAGGGGGGCGCTTTTAGGCTAAATAAAATAGCAAAATTACACAGGATTCTGAGTAAACAACCTTTAGCTCTCAGAAAGAAACGAATTGTACTGTGCATTGTATAATTGTGTAACATTTAAAAAAAAGTTAGATACGTTAAAAACCGCTCTACAAACTTTGTCCAAGATGGTTGTGATGAGTGTGTGTGGGGGGCGCTTTTTTCGCTAACAAAAATCGCAAGTATTTGTACTGGATTGGTGAGTAGATAACTCTCTTAACACTTAGTAAAGAAACCAAGTGTATTAACGCGTCATGTACAATTTCAATAGCCAGTTTTGTTTATAAAAAAGACGCGACTAGTTCTTTGTAAGATTCTTACGATTCTCTCAACTTCAACGTGAGAGATCAGATACTTTTGATTGATTGCATTCCATCTTACCTGGAACACTGAACAATATTAAAGAGAACTAAATATCACGGATTCTTGAATCCCTAAGCCACTAACCACCACTTTTTTCCATGCTCTTATTTCATTCTCCACTGTCTGTAATCTAGCTCCAAGCCATACAGTAAAAGAAACCACATTTAGTTATAGATCCTGATTGAATTTTTTGACAATGCATTTGAATTCCACATTTTCTTAGAGAGTTAAAACGCGTTTTATTGCTGCTGATTATAATCAGAACGTCATGGGTCATGGGCTATCATTAAATTGATTGTTACTGCTTCTTCAATCAATACAATTAGTTCTGCATTTGTTGTTGACGTTGTGCGAGCAGTGTTTCTTCCAGACTTTTTTCTCCGGGGGGGGGGGGGGGGGACTTGAAATTTTCGAGGGGGGGGGGCGGTAGACTTTCTTCGGGGGGGGGGGGGGGCGGACACTGTTAAACGTATATATTTTCTATATATAAATTATATAAATTTCATTTCGTTCGAGGGGGGGGGGGGGCGGTAAAAAATTTTCGGGGGGCTTTGCCCCCCCCCCCCCCCCCCCCGAAGAGATGCCTGGAAGAAACTCTGTGTGCGAGAAGGCAGGGCAAATCTGCGAAATCCAAGACTACGAGCTGTTAACATCCGTTGGATTCCAGTTTGTTTTCTCTAGCTTGTTTTGTCATACCATCATTCAATCAACGAAATACCCATGTCGTATTCCAATGTGAACAATAAATATTTCTGATAACTTCTTCTTGTATGTCACTTGTGTGTCCTTACTCTAACAAACTTCGAATCCAACTATGTACCATATCACAACAGAGATCGTTCCAAAACTAGAACATAAAAGGCTGGTCTAAACATATTAGCGTTAGCTTCAAACTACCCTCTAACACAGATCAGGCTTATTTTTTTTTTACTGACATTACTAATCTTTCGCAAAAAAAATTAAACGCATCTTAATGGGAATTAAATTGTCGTAAAGTTTTAAGGAATGAAAATCATACAATGTAATTATTAAACCTTGTCCGGACTGTAGCATACACGCTTACACACACGCTTACACACACAAATACACTCTTACCCACACACAAGCTTATATATAAACACACTATCACACACACATAATTATACACACACACATGTATATATATATATATAAATATATATATATATATATATATATATATATATATATATATATATATATATATATATATATATATATATATATATATATATATTTATAAGCGGGGGGGGGGGCGCCAAATTGAAAGTTCGCCCCGGGCGCCGGGAAGGGTCGCTACGCCTCTGCCCCCCTCCCACACAGGCCAAAAAAAAAGTGAAAAGGAAAATAAAAATCAAGCATAAAGCACATAAGCATTTTATTGACGTCATATTTTTTATTTTCGTTGTCAAGAGATCTCTTAACCGCATAATATGCGTTTATATAAGCTAGCGTGCCGGTCCCCGCGCGTTGCTGCCGGAAAGAATAAAGTTTGACTAAAAATATTAGGAGAGTTTAATCAATGCGTTACCTACACGTAAAAATTCACCGAAATATTACCGTTGTTTGCTCTACTTTCCCACCTCGGGTACATAGAAACATAGTGTACAATCACTGCCTATAACTCTACTACAACCACTGCCTATAACTCCAGTATAATCACTGTCTATAACTCCACTACAATCACTGCATATATCTCCACTACAATCACTGCCTATATCTCCACTACAATCACTGCCTATATCTCCACTACAATCACTGCCTATATCTCCACTACAATCACTGCCTATATCTCCACTACAATCACTGCCTATATCTCCACTACAATCACTGCCTATATCTCCACTTCAATAACTGCCTATATCTCCACTACAATCACTGCCTATATCTCCACTACAATCACTGCCTATATCTCCACTACAATCACTGCCTATATCTCCACTACAATCACTGTCTATATATCCACTACAATCACTGCCTATATCTCCACTACAATCACTGTCTATATCTCCACTACAATCCCGGTCACCCGCCCTTTACAATCACAACCTACCCTATCCCGTCAACTCACTATTGGAATCTCCCATATACACTCAGCCAATTATTATAAACCCTTATATATATATATATATATATATATATATATATATATATATATATATATATATATATATATAGTTGGGAGGTTATGTTGAGCTGTGATGTAATATGACAGGGAAAGTAGGGGGTTATGAAACGTTTTTCATAATCTGATTAAAATTAGCGAAAGCCAAAAGTACAGGGGCTTAAAACCAGTTGACTAACTACTTAATACAAGACTTCACTTTAAATTTTGTTGAGGTTATTTGATTTTCTCAATGCTAATTCGCCTTTCGATAAATCCCACGGCCCACAGGAACTGCCACACCTCCCTTTCCCCCACACTAACATTCACACCTACTTTCGCTGTCTGTTACCTGTAGTACATCGACCATGGTCCTTCCTACTAGAAGTAGACAGCCAACACGTCACCTCACCTACTTAGTCTACCCTGCGACACATGTGTATAAAAATGTAAACGTCATCACGGTCAGGTGTTGTCACGCTCCACGTCATACGCTCCACGTCAGGTGTTAGCAAAAATTCAGGCATTTTTTTCTGGGAGGGAGGGGGGGCAGGTGGAAGGGGGGATGCACTGCCGAAGTACGAACGAAATAGAATTTATATATATTTAAAAAACTTAAACCGACCGCCCCCCCGAAATTTAACCCCCTCCCCCCGCAACTCGATAGTTTTAAGTGCTCCTCAACTGAGAAAAATGACTGAAAGAAACACTGGGAGTGAGCATTTACGTAGTCCACCACCTTACTTCCTTATCACTATTATAGTTTTCAACTGTTAATCAATTCATTTGTAACTCTAAAAAAATCGCTGGAAAACATTTTCGTTATAAAATTAGACAATGGAATTGCTTTACTATGTTATGAGGGGGGGGGGGGGGCTGTCTTTTTTTGTAACAACGGCTGAACATAGTGGAAAAGGCGTAGCTAGGGGAGAGCGGGTGCGGCAGCCGACCCTAGAGGGGCACAAAACGGGTAGAGAAAAGTAAAAGCTTTAGCTGAGCTGCATTAATAAACAATATTTTATTTAGAGAAAATACACAGATAAATGGCTTTACAGATTGATTTAACTGTTCTCTACATCAATTTTCTGACACCATAACAGAAACTGTTGAGGAAAATTGCTGGTAAAAAGCATTATGTCCCCCCCCCCCCAGATTCTTAAAATTTATTGTGGGGCGGGAGAATGGTTAGCTACGCCTTTGCTAATGGGCGGGTATGTTTTGGTATACTAGAGTTTTAAACAGGGCGAAGACATTTATTAAAAATAAATTCGTTTTAATTGTTTTTAATTTATATTCATTGTTTTGATTTTTTTCGTTCTAAATATACATAAGATATTTAGTGGTTCTACTTATTTGCATTACACCGCCCTTTCCTCCCCCCCCCCCCCCAAGTGCTTTGGTCCGTGAAAAACTAAGTGTAACTAAATTCACCAATCTGACCTTGTTACGTTGCGCTTGCCGCGTCTCGCCACGTCCTAGGTAAGTACAGCAGAGGTTACATCATACTCTACGTTACATCCGGCCAGTAAGAGTTAAATCAATTCCTGTTCCATTCATTCCACGCTCAATTTTCTACCGTCACTCCTAGCTGTGTTGGCTTGCGCACGGTGCAAAAACTGTATCGAATTTATTTTTAAAAATAGTTTTACCCATTGTTGGCTCTGCCTGGTCACAAACTGTAACATGACCTACATAGCTGTATATAAAGAGCGATGGAGAGATTTTACAGGCGTTTAAAGAGTGGACTTTTGCAAACGAAGAGGAGAACTAGCAATACTGAAGAAGTTCACTAATACAATCAGACCGTTGAAATTTGACCATTACATAAAACAGTACTAGGTGAGTAATTTTATGTCTTAGGCAGTGTTGAGTAAATATCCCCAGAATCCCATAGGAATTTATTATTTTGGAGCCCATCAATCTTAAAAAATTACTTATCCAATAAACACTAAAATGATGTTTTACGTAATATATTCCATTTTCTTTGAATCAACAGCTTGTTATAGATTTTAATAGCAAACTCTTTGACGATTAAATATACATGCATATATATATATATATATATATATATATATATATATATATATATATATATATATATATATATATATTTATATATATATATATATTTATATATATATATATGTGTGTGTGTGTGTGAGTGTGAGTGTGTGTATCTTGTATGCGTTACAGTCTTTTGTGAAGGCGTGTAACCCATAAAATTGGTCCCCATTTAATTCAAAGCACACCTCGCCGAAGAGACCGTATTATTCGATTTTTTCAAGGGGAGCTAAAAATATATTTGTCCCTTTGAAACATGGCCCACTTTCTGGAAGTGTGTAGAATCTGAGAAAAAAATAGTTCTAAACTAATTTCAGAATTCATGTATCTTTCAGCAAAGAAATTTTCAGGTGTAATTCTTTTTTCATAAATAAATATATTTTTCAATTTTTTGTTTGCTTCCTTGAAAAACTCTAAAAATGCTCTTTAATCTTAAATGAAGTAATCTATAAAGTAACGCAGTCATCTGCTGGACAGACCTGTCGCAGGCAGTTCAGATATGAGATGCTGTAGCCTGTAGCGTCAGAAAATCGTTAGACTTATTTTTTATCAAATAGTGTTGCCAAATTAAACATGAACTACAAAGTATATGATCATCACAGGTTTAAAAGAAAAAGCAATGGAAATAATTTACGATATATCTCCATATCTCCAACCAAAAGGTTTAGCAAATACACATATACGCAATATATTTAAATAGAAATTTTACCTAAATGGAAAAGGGAAAGAATTGATTTAATATTTTCATTCACAGACCACCATGGTGTTTGAGCTACTATCGGATGTTGGAACCACCCATGGCTGGCCGTCCTGCTCGTCTTGGTCCTGTCCTGGTACTGGACGGCCAGCCAATCAAAAAACCTCCCACCGTCACCTGGGATAGCTTTACCTTTCATCGGACACATGTATCTGCTGGAGAAGAATCCCAGAAAACAGTTCGAACGGTGGGTCAAACTGTTCGGTCCGGCGTTCAGCCTGAGGCTTGGGATGAACCAGGTCGTGGTGCTCAACACGTACGACGTGCTGAAAGAGGCGCTGGTCAAGCAAGGTGACCACTTCTCTGACCGACCAAGAACAGGATTTATCGCGGCCAATGTACCCTTACACTCCGAGGGCGTTATTTCTTCTTCCGGTGCCAATTGGAAAGAACAAAGAACGACATCTCTGGCAATTTTAAGAAACTTCGGCATGGGAAAAAATATTTTGGCTGAGAAGATCTCTGTTGAGGTTTCTAAATACATTGAAGCAATTTCTGAAAGTGGAGGAAAACCTACGGACATCAGGACTCTGACCAACATCAGCGTTTCGAATATAATTTGTTCAATTATTTTTGGCAAGAGATTTGAGTTCGATGACCCAAAGTTCATCGAACTGATTAAAGCTTTAAACTTAGCAATTGCATCTATTTCCGGAACCTCTCTGCTCAATTTCCTGCCCGCACTTCGACTTTTGCCCTTTGACCCTTTCAAGTCTAAACAGCTGATTGCTCGCTTAACTGCAACCCAGAATTTTGCGAAGAAAATGATTGATGAAATTAAACACGACTCCACCAACACGAAAAATTTCATCGCCGCTTACATTAACGAAATGAAAGAAAAAGAAAATCGTGGCGAATCCACTTTACTGGACGAGTCTAATTTAGTTCGAGTTATTGACAACCTGTTTGGCGCAGGAACTGAGACAACAAGCACCACCATCTTGCGGAGCTTGTTGTTTGTGCTTCATAATCCGGAAGTTCAGAAAAAAATCTACCAGGAGATTTTAGAACAAGTCGGAGTGAACCGCGCTCCGACTATCAAAGATAGACCCAGGCTTAAATATCTGACAGCGTTTATCATGGAAACACAACGGATGGCTAGTCTGGTGCCATTTAGTCTCATCCACGTCTGCAATCAGGACGCAACAGTAGCCGGGTACACCATCCCCAAGGGGACGCAAATCATTCCCAACCTGGACGCCGTCCTGATGGATGAAAAAATCTGGGGCGACCCACGTAACTTCCGTCCAGAGCGCTTTCTTGACGAACAAGGCAACATCAAAAACAGAGAGGAATTCATTCCTTTTTCCATTGGCCGACGAATCTGTTTAGGCGAATCTTTAGCCAAGATGGAACTTTTTCTGTACTTATCTTCCTTGTTCCAGCATTTTGAAATCCTTCCAGCTAAAGATAACTCCATTCCACTAATTAAAGAAACATTTGCCATCGTTGTCTCCCTTGAACCTTTTGAAATTCGCTGTGTGGAAAGACACCTAAATGTGAACAAGTAGATTATTTATCACTTGAAATTTATTAGTTTAGTCTTTTATTTAATTAAACCGGATATAAAGTTTTGTTTTTACTTTAAACATTATAAACAGACTGTTAAAACTTACTCTCACAATACGTAGATACGAAGGCATATATTCTGACAGAAGCTTAGAAAGCGATTATATAAAAAATCTGAATTTTACTTTTACTCAAAGAAATAAAATAAAACCAATCTTCTATATTGAAATTGTATAATAATGAAAAAATAGGAAACATAAGCTAGAAACAAGTCTTAGTATACAATCAGAGAGTTTCGTAAAAATATATATACACATACTGCTAAGATGGCAAAAATGATTTCATACAAATATAGAAAAATGTTTCAATTTAAAGAAGTAATTATATTATATTCTACTCTGAATATTATTATTATTAAGAAACCAGTAAATGATACTTACACAAATGGATTTTTACACAATAATCGGATTTTTATAATAGGTGTTTTTTTTCTTTTTACATTTTATTTCAAATATTTACTTGCTCTTTTTGCTACGTGAGTTTGTGAGAGTTTTTATGTGAATGTATGTTCACGTGGTTAAAATGTGTACCCAGCCCAGTTAACTTTGTAATGTCTTTGTCCGTGTTAACTTGGTCAAACATTGACACTTGTGAAAAGTTATCACGTTTTATTTATTTTATATTTTAAAAAATATTTTCCCTTTACAAAACTATTTTTTTAACGCGATGTTCTTTTCAAATAAAGAAAAAAAAAATCATTGTTCTTTACACATTTTGTGTTGTTTTTTTTGTAATATAAAAATGTGGGTGTATCACAAAACAGGGCTTCAGACATATTGGGTGTAGACAATAATGTTCCCGATAAATAGGCTATTGATAAATCTGTCCCGGACGGGTTATCGATATAACTGCTCGCGACAAAAACTCTCATTACACAATGGATCACTACAAAAAGTCTTCCAATAAAAAGGCTGATGACAAATTAGCTCACGACTAACTGCATCCAGACTGATTGGCATCCTACGAGATAAATACAAAAAAATGGCAACTTCATACTGGGTACATTGTGAGAATGCCACAGCTCAAATCCGATAGGGCTGGTAAGTAGGTTACCAATCAGTTCTATGGCTCATGCAGGTTTTATTGAGCTGTAGAACTGGATGGCGACCTATTTACCAACCCTATTACTACCCCCTCCTCCTTTCTTCAGTCGCTATCGTTTTCCCTTAACTCCAATCACTGCTTCCTCTACTTTGTTTCTTCTTCTTCTTCGATCTTAGTATTAGTATTGAAAGGGATTTACTTCTAACACAATTAAGAATACGTATGAACTTGCTAACCACCATACAGGCCTTTGACTCCAATTTCAGCATGCTTTCTATTAGGATTTGCTTCCATAGCCTTTGTCCAACCAAAAACAAACTGCAAGGCAGCAGCTGTATGATTTTGGAGTTGTCTCTCCTAGATGAGTGGCTGTCCCCATCTGCACGGAGGTTCGAACCATGAGCTTAACCGACCCGACCACGCCGACCTCCTATTTTCTTTCAAACACCACCTCCCTAATATTTTTTTAAGTTTCTAAGAATTTTTGCATCGGTAAATAGCACAAAAATACAGATTACTTTAATATTAAAAAAAAATTCTTTCAAAATGACATTCTTAATAACATTTCATTGTAAATTTGACACACCATAATAAAACAAATAAACCGGGAGTGATCTCCCCTAAACTTTCTTGAATATTCTTATATAAAACAACAGTTGATGGGAACTCGGGATATAGACATGATTTTTAATCCATTTTAAATACTTAAACTTCTTAAAATAGAATAAAATCTCGTAGAAAAAAAGACTTGACACCAAATGAATGCCAAATAAAATGTGCATAATTGTGCAGAATATTATTAGTACTTTATAAATTTACATTAGTTTTTTTGAGAAATCGGAAATAGCGTAAATTACTATTCCGGTCAACGGAAATTACTTAAAATTTGACAGAAGGTAGAGAATTTACTCTTTTACTTACTTGTGAAATGTCGTTTATTTATCTGAAATAGTACTCAAGTTATAGGCTTTTCAAAAATTCAGAGTAGAAAAAGTTCCACTTCCAGTTATCGGAAATCGCTCAAAAGTTGATACGGATCAACGATTGTGATATAATACTTGTATATGAAATTTCATCAACTTAGCTGTAACGGTACTCAAGTTATCGTGTTTACAGCACATACATACACACACACACATACACTTACACAGACATACGGACAAATTGCAAAACTATGTTTTTCCGACTCAGGGAGGTGTAAAATGTCATTTTTTTTGCACGATTACATGACTTTCTCTATACTTCATATGCCGAGGTCTCTGAAACAGAAATACTGTACTTCGTCAGCCTCGTGTGTGTTGGGCACGATTAGGAAAAGATGGTGATGAATAAAAAAATTAACCACCATCTACCCCTAACTAAATTGTAAAGCAACCTAATAAACATATACCTTCCCATACTCCATCCAATGTGTTCACAATTCCTTAGTTATAGCAATTAAAACTTCATGGGTTGTAATCAAGTATTTTTAAAACGAACAGTAGTTACCTCGCTTGACTACGGGTTCATCTGTCTTTTGACAATAAGATCTCAACATTTCAATGGCGAAGGTATTATTAGCCAACTAAGCAGTTAGTGTACACCCCACCTCACCCCCCTTACGCATCCTCCCCCCCCCTCCCACACAGGCCAAAAAAAAAGTGAAAATAAAAATCAAGCATAAAGCACATAAGCATTTTATTGACGTCATATTTTTATTTTCGTTGTCAAGAGATCTCTTAACCGCATAATATGCGTTTATATAAGCTAGCGTGCCGGTCCCCGCGCGTTGCTGCCGGAAAGAATAAAGTTTGACTAAAAATATTAGGAGAGTTTAATCAATGAGTTACCTAAACGTAAAAATTCACCGAAATATTACCGTTGTTTGCTCTACTTTCCCACCTCGGGTACATAGAAACATAGTGTACAATCACTGTCTATAACTCCACTACAATCACTGCATATATCTCCACTACAATCACTGCCTATATCTCCACTACAATCACTGCCTATATCTCCACTACAATCACTGCCTATATCTCCACTACAATCACTGCCTATATCTCCACTACAATCACTGCCTATATCTCCACTACAATCACTGCCTATATCTCCACTACAATCACTGCCTATATCTCCACTACAATCACTGCCTATATCTCCACTTCAATAACTGCCTATATCTCCACTACAATCACTGCCTATATCTCCACTACAATCACTGCTTATATCTCCAATGCAATCACTGCTTATATCTCCAATGCAATCACTGTCTATATCTCCACTTCAATCACTGCCTATATCTCCACTACAATCACTGCCTATATCTCCACTTCAATCACTGCCTATATCTCCATATATATATATATATATATACAATCAGGGTCACCCTCCCCTTACAATCTCAACCTACCTTACCCCGTCAACTCACTATTGGAATCTCCCATATACACTCAGCCAATTATTATAAACCCTTATGTATATATATATATATATATATATATATATATATATATATATATATATATATATATATATATATATATATATATAGTTGGGAGGTTATGTTGAGCTGTGACGTAATATAACAGGGAATATGGGGGGGGGGTTATGCAACGTCTTTCATAATCTGATTAAAATTGGCGATAGCCAAAAGTACATGGGCGTAAAACCAGTTCATTAACTACTTGATCCAAGACTTCACTTTCAATTTTGTTGAGGTTATTTGATTTTCTCAATGCTAATTCGCCTTTCGATAAATCCCACGGCCCACAAGAACTGCCACTCCTCCCTTTCCCCCACACTAACATTCACACCTACTTTCGCTGTCTGTTACCTGTAGTACATCGACCATGGTCCTTCCTACTAGAAGTAGACAGCCAACACGTCACCTCACCTACTTAGTCTACCCTGCGACACATGTGTATAAAAATGTAAACGTCATCACGGTCAGGTGTTGTCACGCTCCACGTCATACGCTCCACGTCAGGTGTTAGCAAAAATTCAGGCATTTTTTTCAGGGAGGGAAGGGGGCAGGTGGAAGGGGGGATGCACTGCCGAAGTACGAACGAAATAGAATTTATATATATTTAAAAAACTTAAACCGACCCCCCCCCCCGAAATTTAACCCCCTCCCCCCTCAACTCGATAGTTTTAAGTGCCCCTCAACTGAGAAAAATGACTGAAAGAAACACTGGGAGTGAGAATTTACGTAGTCCACCACCTTACTTCATGATCACTATTATAGTTTTCAACTGTTACTCAATTCATTTGTAACTCTAAAAAAAATCGCTGGAAAACATTTTCGTTATAAAATTAGACAATGGAATTGCTTTACTATGCTATTAGGGGGGGGGGCTGTCTTATTTTGTAACAACGGCTGAACATAGGGGAAAAAGCGTAGCTAGGGGAGAGCGGGTGCGGCAGCCGACCCTAGAGGGGCACAAAACGGGTAGAGAAAAGTAAAAGCTTTAGCTGAGCTGCATTAATATACAATATTTTATTTAGAAAAAAAAACTCAGATAAATGGCTTTACAGATTGATTTAACTGTTCTCTACATCAATTTTCTGACACCATTGCAGAAACTGTTGAGGGACAGTGGCTGGTAAAAAGCATTATGTCCCCCCCCCCCCCCCCCACGATTCTTAAAAATTATTTTGGGGCGGGAAAATGGTTCGCTACGCCTTTGCTAATGGGCGGGTATGTTTTGGTATACTAGAGTTTTAAAAAGGGCGAAGACATTTATTAAAAATAAACTCGTTTTAATTGTTTTAATTTATATTCATTGTTTTGATTTTTTTTCGTTCTAAATATACATAAGATATTTAGTGGTTCTACTTATTTGCATTACACCGCCCTTTCCTCACATCCCCCAAGTGCTTTGGTCCGTGAAAAACTAAGTGTAACAAAATTCACCAATCTGACCTTGTTACGTTGCGCTTGCCGCGTCTCGCCACGTCCTAGGTAAATACAGCAGAGGTTACATCATACTCTACGTCACATCCGACCAGTAAGAGTTAAATCAATTCCTGTTCCATTCATTCCAGGCTCAATTTTCTACCGTCACTCCTAGCTGTGTTGGCTTGCGCACGGTGCAAAAACTGTATCGAATTTATTTTTAAAAATAGTTTTACCCATTGTTGGCTCTGCCTGGTCAAAAACTGTAACATGACCTACTTAGCTGTATATAAAGAGCGGTGGAGAGATTTTACATGCGTTTAAAGAGTGGACTTTTGCAAACGAAGAGGAGAACTAGCAGTACTGAAGAAGTTCACTAATAGAATCAGACCGTTGAAATTTGACCATTACATAAAACAGTACTAGGTGAGTAATTTTATGTCTTAGGCAGTGTTGAGTAAATATCCTCAGAATCCCATAGGAATTTATTATTTTGAAGCCCATCAATCTTAAAAAATTACTTATCCAATTAACACTAAAATGATGTTTTACGTAATATATTCCATTTTCTTTGAATCAACAGCTTGTTATAGATTTTAATAGCAAACTCTTTGACGATTAAATATACATGCATATATATATATATATATATATATATATATGTGTGTGTGTGTGTGTGTGTGTGTGTGTGTGTGTGTGTGTGTGTGTGAGTGTGAGTGTGTGTATCTTGTATGCGTTACAGTCTTTTGTGAAGACGTGTAACCCATAAAATTGGTCCCCATTTAATTCAAAGCACACCTCGCCGAAGAGACCGTATTATTCGATTTTTTCAAGGGGAGCTAAAAATATATTTGTCCCTTTGAAACATGGCCCACTTTCTGGAAGTGTGTAGAATCTGAGAAAAAAATAGTTCTAAACTAATTTCAGAATTCATGTATCTTTCAGGAAAGAAATTTTCAGGTGTAATTCGTTTTTCATAAATAAATATATTTTTCAATTTTTTGTTTTCTTCCTTGAAAAACTCTAAAAATGCTCTTTAATCTTAAATGAAGTAATCTATAAAGTAACGCAGTCATCTGCTGGACAGACCCGTCGCAGGCAGTTCAGAAAATCGTTAGACTTATTTTTTATCAAATAGTGTTGACAAATTAAACATGAACTACAAAGTATATGAACATCACAGGTTTAAAAAAAAAAGCAATGGAAATAATTTACGATATATCTCCATATCTCCAACCAAAATGTTTAGCAAATACACATACACGCAATATATGTAAATAGAAATTTTACCTAAATGGAAAAGGGAAAGAATTGACTTAATATTTCCATCCACAGACCACCATGGTGTTTGAGCTACTATCTGATGTTGGAACCACCACATGGCTGACCGTCCTGCTCGTCTTGGTCCTGTCCTGGTACTGGACGGCCGGCCAATCAAAAAACCTCCCACCGTCACCTGGGATAGCTTTACCTTTCATCGGACACATGTATCTGCTGGAGAAGAATCCCAGAAAACAGTTCGAACGGTGGGTCAAGCGGTTCGGTCCGGCGTTCAGCTTGAGGTTTGGGATGAACCAGGTCGTGGTGCTCAACACTTACGACGTGCTGAAAGAGGCGCTGGTCAAGCAAGGTGACCACTTCTCTGACCGACCAAGTACGGGATTTATCGCGGCCAATGTACCCTTACACTCCAAGGGCGTTATTTCTTCTTCCGGCGCCAATTGGAAAGAACAAAGAACAACATCTCTGGCAATTTTAAGAAACTTCGGCATGGGAAAAAATATTTTGGCTGAGAAGATCTCTGTTGAGGTTTCTAAATACATTGAAGCAGTTTCTGAAAGCGGAGGAAAACCTACAGACATTAGGACTCTGACCAACATCAGCGTTTCGAATATAATTTGCTCAATTATTTTTGGCAAGAGATTTGAGTTCGATGACCCAAAGTTCATCGAACTGATTAAAGCTTTAAACTTAGCAATTGCATCTGTTTCCGGAACCTCTCTGCTCAATTTCCTGCCCGCACTTCGACTTTTGCCCTTTGACCCTTTCAAGTCGAAACAGCTAATTGCTCGCTTAACTGCAACCCAGAATTTTGCGAAGAAAATGATTGATGAAATTAAACACGACTCCACCAACACGAAAAATTTCATCGCCGCTTACATTAACGAAATGAAAGAAAAAGAAAAGCGTGGTGAATCCACTTTACTTGACGAGACTAATTTAGTTCGAGTTATTGACAACCTGTTTGCCGCAGGAACGGAGACCACCAGCACCACCATCTTGTGGAGCTTGTTGTTTGTGCTCCATAATCCGGAAGTTCAGAAAAAAATCTACCTGGAGATTCTAGAAGAAGTCGGAGTGAACCGCGCTCCGACTATCCAAGATAGACCCAAACTCAAATACCTGACAGCGTTTATCATGGAAACACAACGGATGGCTAGTCTGGTGCCATTTAGTCTTATCCACGTCTGCAATCAGGATGAAACAGTAGCCGGGTACACCATCCCGAAGGGGACGCAAGTCTTTCCCAACCTGGACGCCGTCCTGATGGATGAAAAAATCTGGGGCGACCCACGTAACTTCCGTCCAGAGCGTTTTATAGACGAACAAGGCAACATCAAAAACAGAGAGGAACTCATTCCTTTCTCCATCGGCCGGCGTGTTTGTTTAGGCGAATCTTTAGCCAAGATGGAACTTTTTCTGTACTTATCTTCCTTGTTTCAGCGATTTGAAATCCTTCCAGCTAAAGATAACTCCATCCCCTTAATTAAAGAAACATTTGCCATCGTTGTCTCCCCTCCACCTTTTGAAATTCGCTGTGTGGAAAGACACCTCAATGTGAACACGTAGATTATTTATCACTTGACATTTATTAGTATAGTGTTTTGTTTAATTAAACCTGATATAAAGTTTTGTTTTTACTTTAAACATTATAAACAGACTATTAAAGCTTACTCTCAATACACGTAGATACGAAGATATATATTCTAACAGTAGCTTAGAAAGCGATTATAAAAAATATCTGAATTTTACTTTACTCAAAAAAATAAAATAAAACCAATCTTCTATATTGAAATTGTATAACAATGACAAAATAGGAAACATAAGCTAGAAACAAGTCTTAGTATACAATAAGAGAGTTTCGTAAAAATATACATACACATACTGCTAAGATGACAAAAATGATTTTATACAACTATAGAAAAGTTTTCAATTTAAAGAAGTAATTATATTGTATTCTACTCTGAATATTATTATTATTATTATTAAGAAACAAGTAAAAGATACTTACACTAATGGATGTTTACACAATAATTGCATTTTTATAATGGGTGTTTTTTTTTTCTTTTTACATTTTATTACAAATATTTACTTGCTCTGTTTGCTACATAAGTTTATGAGAGAACTTAAGTGAATGTATGTTTACGTGGTTAAAATTTGTACCCAGCCCAGTTAACTTTGTAATGTCATTGTCTGTGTTAACTTGGTCAAACACTGCCAGTTGTGTAAAAAATAAAAATCAAGCTTTACAAAACTATTTTTTAAACGCCATGTTCATTTCAAACAAAGAAAAAATCATTATTCTTTACACATTTTGTGTCTTTTTTATTGTAAAATAAATATGCGGGTGTATCGCCAAAAACAGGGTCCGGACATATTGGGTCAAGACAATAATGTTCCCGATAAATCTGTCCCGGACATACGGGTTACCGAAAAAATTGCTCGCGACAAAAAACTCTCCTGACACAATAAATCATTGCAAAAAGTCTTTCAATAAAGAGGCTGATGACAAATTAGCTCACGACTAACTGCATCCAGACTGATTGGCATCCTGCGAGATAAATACAAAAAATGGCAACTTCATACTGGGTACACTGTGAGAATGCTGCAAATCAAATCCAATAGGGCTGGTAAGTAGGTCACCAATCAGTTCTATGGCTCATGGGGGTTTTATTGAGCCGTAGAACTGGATCGCGACCTACTTACCAGCCCTATTACAACCCCCTCCTCCTTTCTTTAGTCGCTATCATTTTCCCTTAACTCCAATCACTGCTTCCTCTACTTTGTTTCTTCTTTTCCTTCTTCTTCTTCGATCTTAGTATTAGTGTTGAAAGGGATTTACTTCTAACACAATTAAGAATACGTATTAACTTGTTAAGCACCATACAGGCCTTTGACTCCAATTTCAGCCTGCTTTCTATTTGCATTATTAAATTGTAAAACAACATAAAACAACATAATAAACCTATACCTTCTCATATTTCATCCAATGTGTTCACAATTCCTTAGTTATAGCAATTAAAACTTCAAGGGTTGTAATCAAGTATTTTTAAAAGAAATAGTATTTACTTCCCTAGACGACGGGTTCATCTGTCATATGACAAAAAGATCGCAGCATTTCATTGGCAAAGGTAATAGTAGCCAACTAAGCAGTCAGTGTACACCCCACCTCATCCCCCTTACGCATGCCCCACCCCCCTTGCATGCAAAAATGTGAAAAGAAAAATAAAAATCAAGCAAAAACTACATAAGCATAGAAAAATACAGAACAAAAACAACTACGTAGTAAAATCATTTTTGGGACTTCATATTTTTATTTCCGGTGTCAAGAAAGATCTCTTAACCGCATAATAGGCGTTTATATAAGGTAGCGTGCACGTCCCCGCGCGTTGCTGAGGGAAAGAATAAAATCTGACGAAATATATTAGGAGGGTTTAATCAATGCATTACATGCACGTAAATGATTCACCGTAATATCATCGTTAAACACTAACCGCCTAGGTGATAGGGATTTAGAGGGTCGCTCTCGTGAGCCACCTATTACACTATCGCAGTGGCGCCGCGTACGTCCCCTTGTTCGGTTTAGTCATCAAATGTCGTGTACCGCCTTGTCAATATTGTAGGGTGCTCTTTAAATGTAACGTAGGCACAAAAAGTGCTCACAAGATAGCGCAGGGTGCCTAATCGCACCCTGTATGTGTGTCGGCGGACGGCTCTAATACCCCATCTTATGCATAGTCTATCACACTGCTTAAAACGAACGTAGGCACTATCGCGCTCACGAGATAGCCCTGGCGCCAAATTGTACCGTGCCGGGCGCCGTCGAACGTGCCTGATAGAATTTACTGAGCGATTATAACACCCCATCTTCGACATAGTTAACGATTGTTGTTGCCCATCGTGTCTTTAGTGTATAGCCTGTTGACGTCAGAATATAGTAGTACACCTTACCCTCTATGTAAGACGCTCGCTTAAAGGTCACTAAGTGCTAAGATAGCCGCTCTGGAACTCTGGGTGCAAACAGTTTATTGACAAAAATCATAACCTCTCTTGAGCCGCCCATAAGAAACTAATTTTTGTCCCCCACAGAAATCGTCTCGGGAGTAATTGCATCTCCCAAAGTTTTATGGCACTAGATTGAACACTGTCAAACCGCATCCGACTATTATTTTTTATATACCGTATTTAGAGAAACATCGCACCCTCCCGGGGCGGCGCCCTTGTAAAATTTTTTAAAAAGTTTGTTTAGCAGAAATCTCTCCTTTACTGTGTTAATCAACTCCATAAAGTTTCATAGCGATCGGATGAACGGTGTCTGACGGCAATCGACTTTTAATTTTATATAACGTTTACAGAGAACAATCACATCGCGCCCTGCTAAGGCGCCAACCCTGCGAATTAAAAATCAGGGGCCCAAAAGCTCCGGGCTATTTCAGTCCAGTCATCGAATGTTGTTGTTCATCTCTCACATAAAGCGCTTTTACAAACATTTGAAGACGCCATGGTGATCTTAGGGCTATTCAGGGCACACAAACACCATTGGAGTAGTTTAAATGACGATTCAAAAAGTATCACTGCCCCATTTTACAGGCGGCCCAATCGGATATACAAGGTAGTCTAGGCTATATATATATATATATATATATATATATATATATATATATATATATATATATATATATATACAGCAAGATAGAGTGTGAGTAAGATATAGAGATAGAGATAAATAGAGAGATATATATACATAGAGAAAGAGACAGAGAGAGATAGAGAGATCATGCATCTCAAGTATTTGATTTCTATAAATACTTTTTCTTTTTAATAACTCTATTTATTTGCATTGCATTGCTCACTCTCACCTCCCTCGTCCCTCATCTTTTACTGGGCAACATGTAGGTCAGGGTTCCTTGGTCCTCATAACAGGAAGTGCGATTAGGTTAACCAATGAAACTCGCTTACGTTTCGTTAGCCACGGATCTCAACTCCTTTTATCGCGAACATGTTTGTTGATATAGCTGGTTCAAAAACTGTAACTGTAACTGTAACATTTGTATATAAAAGGCGCTGGCGTGCGTTATTGTCAGAAATTTCACAAACGGAGGCAACTAATATCGCCTTGAATGCGTGTGTAAGCAGGGATTTTAAACGCGACTGTTGTTATAGACGAATGTCCTAGTTGAGTACTTTTATTTCAAGGACAGTGTAATAAGGTAAATTCTATATTAATAATTTCGATACCCAACCCTCTAAAAAGAAAAAAAATCAAAACAAATTAGCAACATAAAATTATCTTGTATTGTATTTGAATAACGAAAATAAAAAATAAAAATAAAACAACAAATAACGATGAAAATTTGGGTTTTAAAGTGAATTATTTATGTCAAATTTTGGTATTTAATATGATGTTCTGTTTAATAAACATGCATAAGGTTTGGTTTTGATTTATAATAGTGGTATGCAAGTGGTATTTTCGATCTGTAGAACTAGACGCTATAACAAACTCTACCTACCACAAAATTTCAGAAAAACAACTTTTCTCGAGTCCTTACGCCCTCTTCAACGTCGCAAATGTATGACTCATTAGGAATGTGCATGAGTTCTGGACATAGGTGAGGGAGTGATTACGGCTGAAGATGTTTAATAGGTTGTGACGTGGTAGGCTAAAATAAAATGTGTAGGCACGGTAATACTGGCCTCCCCTTGAAAGTGCTGTGCTGGTAAGTGTATGTGATCGCGAGAGTGGGCAGAGAACGTTAGCGTGATGTCAAGACAGTGATTCGTCAGTTTTCTTTTCATATTTTTTTTTCTTGTGGTTGAAGAAAATTACACGTAAATGATACATATTCTCTTTGTGGATTGTGTTTTATTTACTGTTGTTACACCTGGCCCAAACGAGCGCAAAATACCTACTAAACCATGTGTAACAGGGGTGGGGGGGGGGACCTAGTGGAATAAGTGTGTTGTGCATTGCAGCTGACAGCCCGTTTTTCAACGTGAAACAGGTTTGGCTATATACTTTTATATTATAATTTATATACATACATATATAGATATGTATATATTTGTACACACACACACACACACATATATATATATATATATATATATATATATATATATATATATATATATATATATATATATATATATATATATATATATATATACATATATATATATACATGTATACACACATATAAAAAGTTAAGGTCCCTTTTCTTAAAAGACCGCTCAAACCTGTGTATTTTAAGGGCAGCTAAAGTACTATTGCTCTGTTTACTAAGTGTTAGCCCGATCGTATGCTGAAATGTGGTCCACTTAATTGCAGTGTGTAGAAACCGAATAAAACCAGACCAAAAAACGTGCTTGTAAATCAAATGTAGTTTCATAAAAACTCTCTGTTTTATTGCTCGTAAATATATGTGTTGCCGCGTTACTTGTTTTTGGCTTTTTGTAAGAATTGAGGTGGTAGTTTTAGTTAGTATAATTCTGCGTTGCATTTTGTTAGGTTTTGATAATAAAAGGATACCTTGTTAGATGACTGCTACTAGTTTGGCATCAATGTAATCGGTGGTCCACAAAAGCAGATATCGAATTCATTAGATACGTTGGTGGTCGCTTACTCACCCCTGCATGCCACTGAATTTTAATTTTGTTATACCAGAAAAGAACATATCCGAGCACTACAACGAAAAAGTCAAGACTAGTGTTCATTAGGTCACTGACTGTCTACTAAAAACATCTTCATCGGTCCGAATACTATAGGGTATCCCATTAGTGTTTTCCCAAATTTACACCCCATGTCAGGTCGGGGGCTAGTTCGCTCCAACCATCTCCTGTCACTTCAGGTCAAATGCAAGGCGACCGTGTCCTACACACAGCTAGGTGTGACACTCATGTCTTTCTACCGAATTACGGCCTGTCTCCGTTCATGTAGAGCAAGGGTCTCCAAACTTTTCAGTCCGAAGGCCGTATTAACTATCAAATTTCAGTTCGGAGGGGGGGGGGTAGTTAGTTCCAGACATGTCTTTGGTTTTTCTGGGCAAAGTTCCTCACCCACCTCCAACAAACGTTTTTTACGTGGACAAAAAGATCTCCATGGGCCGGATGAGAGGACCTCGCGGGCCGCATTCGGCCCGCGGGCCGTAGTTTGGAGACCCCTGAAATGTAGAGGATAACTCACTAACAGCAATAGATTTAACAATCAACAATTTCGGCATTCGACCATTTTTTTTTCAAAATTAATTTAGCAAAGAT